CAGGGCAGTCCTCAATGCCTCTGCAGCAGCAGCACAGCAGCCACTGGCTGCGTTTTGTTGACAGATAAGGAGCCACGGCGGCTCCTCCTGCGACTTCGCTGCTGCTGCTGCTGCTGCAGTTTCTGCGCAGCTGCTGCTGCGCCGGTTGCTGCTGCTGCTGCTCCAAGGCGAGAACTTGAGTACTTTTTGCTGTTTTACATTAAATAACTTATTTCATTTATTTTATTTTACACTTAAAGGCAAACAGTTGGGCAAATGGGTATTACAGACCCACCGGTCCATTCGGCTGCAAGGGGGCCCCCGGTCAGGGCCCCCCGCTGCTGCAGTCGATTCTACCACTGCTGCTGCTGCTGCTGGTGCTGCTGCTGCTGTGGCAGCAGCTGCTAGTGTTATCGCTCAAGGCTTTCAGAAGTTAGTTAACTTCCACACAAGGTCCTTGTTTCATGTGTGTTGCGGATGATGCTGCTGATTTGCAGCAGCATCAGCAGCAACAGCAGCAGCAGCAGCAGCAGGTGAGCATCGGGGCAGCTGGGGGCGTCTTGCTGGCAGCATGGCATCAACAGCAGCAAAGTAATAAGGCCGATAACATATTTTCCTGTAATAACAATCAGCTTTAAAGTCATCAGAGAAGGCAGCTGTTGCTGCTGCGCCCGGTGGACTCAAAAGCAGCAGCAGCAGCAACAGCAGCAGCAGTAGCAATGGAGCGCAGTTTGTTCGTTGCTGCTGTGCTTCTGCTGCATCTGGGAGTCCGCTTAGCAGCAGCAGGAGGGGCTCCTGTCGTCTCTGTCGAAGCAGAACCTGCTGCTGCTGCTGCTGCTGCTGCAGCAGCAGAGCAGCAGCAGCAGCTACCGAGCCGCGTCATTGCCCGCTTTTCGTTGAACAGCAAAGACTACTACGAGCTGCCTATAAACCTGGGGCCCGGGGGCAAAGGACTGCAGCATAAGAGGGGCCCTTTTGCTGGTGCTTTAAATGGAGCTTTTGCTGCTGTTGTTTCTCTGGTACTTATTACTTTGTTTAATGATTCATTAGCTGCAGCAAAAAGAAGAAGGCAGCAGCAGCAGCGGCGGCGGCAGGCCCATTCTCTTGCTGGCCAACGGCTTGCTGCTGCTGCTGCTATGAGGCGAGCAGCAGACCTGCTGCTGCAGCACCAGCAGCAGGTGCGAGACCAGCGCCTACACAAGCAGCAGCAGCAGCAGCAGCAGCAAGAGCAGCAGCAGCCGCAGCAGCATCGACAACAGCAGCAGCAGCAGCAACAACAACAACAAGAGCAGCAGCAGCCGTGGCACCAGAACGAGCAGCTGCAGCAGCAGCAGCAGCAGCAGCAGCGTAAGGAGATGATACTTGCTGCAGCAGACCTGGAAAAGAAACTTCTCCCTTTGGAAGAGCTGCTGCCAGAAACAGCAGAAGTGGGGCAGCAGCTCAGAGACCGCCTTTTGCTGGCAGCAGGAGCTTTCACTGCGCGGCAGCTGCAGCTGATGCAGCAGCAGCGGCAGCAGCAGCAGCAGCAACAGCAGCAGCAGGAAGAAGGGGGGCAGCAGAGTCACAGTGCCGCCTCACGCCGAGACAGAAACGCCTTAAGCGCAGCAGCTACTGCAGCACACAGCAGCAGCAGCAGCAGCAGCAGCAGCAAGCCCTCACTGGCGGGCATGGGCCCCCCAGAAGCAGCAGGGGGGCCCCTCGAGGGCCCCCTGTGGCTCGCAGAGGAGGTGTGGGGCCCCCCAGGGGGGCCCCTCGAAGGTGTCTGGGGTCCCCTTGGGGGACCCCCTGGGGCCCCCTTAGGGGGCCCCCCTGGGGGGCCCCTTTGGGGCCCCCAAGGAGACCCTTTTGAGACCCAAGAGCCCTCTTTTCTGCTGCGTCTCAACAGACTTTCTTTGCTGCTTTCTGAGAATGCCATTACTTCAAGTCGAGATGCTTTTCAAATACTAAATGCCCTAGAGGGGCCCCCAGAGGGGCCCCTAGGGGGGCCCCCAGAGGGGCCCCTAGGGGCGCCCCCAGAGGGGCCCCTAGGGGGGCCCCCAGAGGGGCCCCTCTAGGGGTCCCCTACGGCGTTTTCTGGGGGCCCCCGGGGCCCCCAAAGGAGAGCTTGGGGGGCCCCTGGGGGCCCCAGGGAAACCCTTCAGGGGGCCCCCAGGGAAACCCTTCAGGGGGCCCCCAGGGAAACCCTTGAGGGCCCCTTCAGGGGCCCCCAAGGAAACCTTTGGGAGCCCCTTCAGGGGCCCCTAAGGAAGCCTTTGGGGGGACCCTAAAGGGGCCCCCAAGGAAACCTTTGGGGGGCCCCTAATGGGGGCTCCCAAGGCCTCTAAGGGGGGCCCCCTCTGCATTTATTTTGCTACTGAGAAGGCACTATGAGCTGGCAGGTGAAAGTTTAGCTGCAAAGCTTTGGCTTAGCAGCAGCAAACCGCTTTTTGCTGCTGCTGCTGCTGACATTTTTATAATTACTTTTATCATGATTATTATTATTAAATTTATTTTCTCAATTATTATTGTTATGGGGGAAAGAGGCCCCCTACAAAAAAAAGCGTTGTTCGAATTGAGCAGCTAGGGTTTCGAGGGTTTCGGTGAGGGTTTAGGGTTTGGGGTGAGGGTTTAGGGTTTGGACGAGGGTTTAGGGTTTGGGACGAGGGTTTAGGGTTTAGGGTTTTAGAAGCTCTTCGAGGTTTTTGCGGAGTTCAGCTGCAGACTTTTCCCTGTCCACTTGCCAGGCGTTTGCCGGCGCCGTTTTATCTGAGCGAAGACAAACCCTAAACCCTAAACCCTAAACCCTAAAGCGGGGGCTCCGAAGCCATCTGCACTCAGGGCTTAGTGGCGGGCACGCCCATATCGCCTGCGTTTGTCAACAGGGTTTAGGGTTCAGCATAGGGTTTAGCTTAGGGTTTAGGGTTTAGGGTTTAGGGTTTAGGGTTTACCGAAGAGCAGCGCATGCACCCCAGACCCCCCCAAAATAACTTTTGGCTCCAACTGCTGCTGCCGCAGCCGCTGCTCAATCAGCAGCAAAGAAAAAGTCTCTTCTGCTATTTGCTGCAGCACTTGGGGGTCTAGGGGCCTCCTATTGATTTTCCTGCTGCTCCAGAGGTCCCCGGGGGCCCCCCTGGGGGCCCCCCCGAGGGCCCCCCCCCGGGGGG